TGGACAAGGTTACCAAGACGCCGATCACATCCTTTGGTCTTGTGCTGAGCATCGTGGAGTCAGATCTGAGCTGTGTCGAGGTAGACAACCTAATGTTCCAGTTCGGGATATTTTGGCTAGACGCGATCTGGAGTTTATGAAACTCATATATGTTTACTTTAAAAATATTAACATTAGATTGTAAGTTTTATTAACCTTGTGTTTAGTTTGTATTTTGTACGTGTGGGTTTTTTTTTATGTTTGTTTTCAAAATGAATAGAAATTAGTTCATGTTTTAGGATTAATTAAATATTTGTATCGTAAACCACATTTCAAACCTCCCTCTCCCTTTTCCCATCCAAAAAAAATTGTAAATCCCCACTAACCTCGAGACAACCGCGAGTATCCGGTCCAGCTCCTTTAACTTTAAATATAAGAAATCAATAATGTATAACAAAAAGGATATCTCGGCTCTGTAAAGTTTATTCGATTGAGCATGTACAAATAAAATAAATTAATAAAAAAAAATCCCTAAGGTGGTTACTGTAGAGCCAACTAAACGACAGGTATTGTCTTTTATCATGAGTGTGTACGATCCTTTGGGATTAATTGCACATATCACAATTCTCAATGAACATTTCAAATGGTCCTACCTGCTTTGATCAATTCTCTTCATCGACTTTCGCTTTTCATAACTACTGCTATGCAAACAGATTTCGCGCTAATTCTAGTAGGTTCTTATCTAGCGTCCAAAACGTCAAATACAACAGGGAAAGGTTTTGCTGCTGAGTTATTGACGAAAGAGAAAGTCGATAGCGGCGCCGGTGGTGTAGTGGTAAGCGTGATTACCTCTCACCCCAGCAGGCCTGGGTTCAATCCCAGTCGGCGCCGCCGGGATGTTCTGAGGCATAACATCTCTGATCACGCCTTCCTTCGGAAGGGAAGTGAAGCCGTTGGTCCCCTGTTCATGAGTTGATGGGTCGATAGGTAGGGTCCAGGTGTGGGAGCTGCGTTCCTGGCGTCGGTAGCTCAGCACGGAAAACAAATCAAGGAAAAAAAAGAAGAGAATCGATCAATGCAGATAGGACCTTTTGAAATATTTATCTACAGTTGAATCCAGAATATTGATGCAAGAGATAGATATGTAGATTATCCTCCATAGAAAATATAAAAAAATCCTAGATGTTATTCCTACTCCAAAAGCATAATAAAGAGAGAACTTCATGTGTTTTGTGACGCTTCATTGAACGCATTTGCCGCAGTCATATACATGAAAACAATATGCGAAGAAGGAATTAACGTTACAATTGTTGCTGCCAGTTAGCTTCTACAAAAATTATGTCAGTACCTCACCTAGAATTACAAGTAGTGGTAACATACTGGTCAGATTCAAAAACAGTGATAAGTTGGATACAATCTGAGTTAAGAAAATTCAAACAATTTGTTCAATACCGTGTTAGCGAAATTCTGGAGAACACGGTAGAATCACAATGGAAATATTTTAGCTCAGCATCAAATCCGGCTGATGAAGCAACAAAAGTTGTTCTATCTAAATCCATTTGGATTGAAGGACCTTCATTCTTAAAATTAGAGGAAGAATACTGGCCACAAACAACTGAGGACAAACAAAACTCAGATTTAAGTCATGAGGAACTACGCCTGGTTTACTCAATAATCAACGTAAATAAACCAAATATAGATTGGCTGAATGTTGAAAGGTGCTCGGATTGGAATCGACTCAAAAGATCTGTATGTATCGTAAAAAATGTATAGACTGGCTTAGGTGTAAAATAAACAAGACATTGAAATTTCAAAAAGCGATAACTGCTGTCGAAATGGAAATAGCAGAAATATTGCTAATCCAAAAGACTCAATGGGACGCATCCCCAGACGAGATGACTGAGCTTAATGTTAAACAAACGGTCCAGCAAGATAAGAACGTTAACACCATTCTTAGATCAAAACGGTACAATAAAATCTAAAACCCACTACAAAGATGCAGAATGCGCCCTTATTCGGCTCGACAGCCTTACATTCTTCCATCAAACATCATGTGGTAGATTTAATATTGAGAAATCAACATGAACAATTTAAATACAAAAAATGAAGGCTGCTATAGTAACAGTTCAACAAAAATATCATGTTGTACAAATAGATGGTGGAATGAGGAGGGCAATAAAAAATGCCAACATTGTAAAAACGAAAACGCAAAAATAAACACCCCTAAAATGCAATCTTTACCGGAGTGCCGATTGCAACCGTTCATAAAACCGTTTACCCACACTGGAGTAGATTATTTCGGGCCATATATTTGGAAGTAGCCCATGATCTATCCGCAGATGTATTACTATTATGCTTAAACTCTGTGCAAAATAGACGAGGCAGAATAAAATTCCTTTATAGTGATAATGGCACGAACTTTGTAGGGACTGACAATGAACTCAAAAAGACCGAGTACAGACTTGCATCAAAGGGAATTGGCATTTTAATCCTCCATCATCCTCGCAAGAACGGTTGGTTCAAGAAGTTAAAAGCCTTTTACCAAATCAAACTATGTCTGAACATACGTTCCGCTCCTTATTAACAGAAATTGAACACTGAAGAAACTCGATTGAACACACGTTGAAGGCCGTCTATAGCACCGTTCATGCTATAATTAGTGCGATGCTGAGGCAATCTTCACATAGCGTTATTTCGCAGCGCTTGGGGTTGGACAATCAAGTTGATCTTCTCCAGGATTGTAGAACAATCAATTCTACCCTGTAAACTATCCACGATGAGCAGGGCCCGCGAAATGTCTCTCCGAGTACGTAGAAGCTCCAGATCAATCAGTTGACATCGACTTTCATAACTGGGTAGACGAAAAGGGTTTCTCCAAGGCAGCTTCCTCAGAGCAAATCGAAGAAATCGACGCTGAACGGCCTCAACTCTTTCAGCACCATTGTTATAGCTTGGGTTCCATACTGCAGAGCAATATTCCAGGGTGGACCGCACCAGGGAACAGTATAGCGATTTGAGACAATATGTATCGGAAAAATTCTTTGCAATCCTGAAAATGAATCCCAAAGATCTTAACGCCTTGTTGACAATGAACGAGATGTGTTGCTTATACGTTAACTGGGAATCCAGAATAACTCCCAGGTCTTTTATGTGGTTGACACGTTGATAAATGATTACCCCCTCCCCTATCGTGATAACTGAACACTTCGTTAGGTTGACCTCCATTCGGTTCAAGTTGCACCAGTTAGCAAACGCTTCGAGCTGGCATTGAAGAACGGATCCGGATATAGATTTTAAGATCATCTGCATACGATAGACGAGGGCCTTCCAGGACCAGATTCACGTCGTTAAAGTACAACAGGAAAACCAACGGGCCTAGGTGACTTCCTTGAGGTATCCCTGACGTGACTGGGTAAGTAGCAGACTGACATTCACCAACGGTTACCATCAGCTGGCGATCACTGAGATAAGAGCGAAACCATCACAGGAGGTTGCCATTTACCCCGAATCTATCTACTTAGCAATCGCAATTGCATGGTTCAGTTTATCGAATGCAGCCGACAAGTTGGTGTAAATTACGTCTGTTTGAGCCCGTTCTGTCATGCTTTCCGTGACATACGATATCAGACAAAGTAGTGGTAGTAGAACGACCGGAAATGAAGCCGTGTTGATCACTACTTAGATACTGCTTACAATGAGAGAGCAGGAGCTCCATGATGACTAACTCGAATAACTTCGAAACTGAGCTCAACGATGTGATTCCACGGTAATTATCCACGTCCCGTTTGTTTCCCTTTTTGTGAACAGGAAACACATATGCAAATTTCCAACAAGATGGAAATATACTGCTCGTTAACGTAATTCCAGAAGGACTTCGGGTGCGACTCGAGTTTACTCTGAATCCCACGTTGATATCGCGAATAGCATCGATGGCTAACTCGCTTGAACTCACGATTGAGCCTAACGTAATGATGTTTCAGCGACAGCGTACGATACTTGGTGAGTCATCATGAGAAACAACGTGCGAATTCAAAAGGGATATCATCTGGTGAAGCACCCAGGATCCAATTGATTAACGTAAACTGTTAGTTTTAATCTCACAACTACTGACAGCATGACGAAACTATGGGTAAAAAGTTATTCAAAAATATTATGTACGGACATTTCTAGATGAAGCTGGAGTTAGGGATTAAGATCCTTTGTAAAAAGATGATTTCTAGGAACTCAATACATGCCCACGTCCCCTACCGATGGTGTTGCTGATTTGCATTGACGAGTTTTAACTTTCTAGAAATCATCGAAAGTCATTGTCATTGTCATTGTTTACAAAAGCTGTTACTCCCTAATTCCAGCTCTATCTAGAATTTGTATTTCTAGCGTTCACAATCATAAAGGCCTAACTGTGAAGATCGATTCTCTTGATCGATTTTAACTTTGTATTACTTCCCTTAAGTGCAAAAATATGAAAAAATGTTTCCAACACAGGTATGTAAGAGGTTGTATTGGCTACCAGATGCAACATCAACCGCACCGAGAAATATTAATCCAGCTGAGGAAATATATTAAGGGTTGATGCATATATTATGTCACGCTCTAAGGTGGGAGGGGGGAGGTGTCTAAGATTTTGTGACAAGCAATGCATTAGGTATATTAAAAACGTCACGATAGGGGGAGGGGGTAATTTTTTGCCCGATTTAGCGTGACATAATTAATGCATGGGCCCTAAGAGAATCGATCATCGCAGTTAGCCCCAGAGATTCTGAACACTATATTTGTACAACATTTTCCAAAAATATTGGTTTTAGAAAAAAAATAACTCGGTAACAATAAATGCTACCACATGTACCAAATAAGATATTCTAAAAAGATTCTAATTTCAACAACATTCAATATTTTTGGTTTTCTGCATACAAAATAAAATCTCATATCTTTGTTTTTACTAGCGACATCTGTTACGAAGATCAACCATTCTGTTAATCTATTGATTGTGTCTTTAGTCAATAAACCTGATTTCTTTGCAGATCAAAGGATGCGAATTGTAATCTTACAGAGCACATACAATATGTCCAGAAGCAGCTGACTGAGCTTACAGATGACATAAACAAGTTTCAAAAAAGAGAATATGAACTATTGGCTTTGAATCAAGAGTTGGGATCACTGAATGCAAAGCTGCAAAATGATATTTTATTACATGTGTCAAAAAGCCAGGCTGCTTCATTGGAAAATAATGAAGCAAATAAAACTCAATACGAATGCCAAATAAACAAATTACAAGAAGAGCTGGATAGTGAAAGAAAAGATCGTTTTGAGGAGCGCTTAGTGATGGCTAAACACTTTGCTGAAAAATCAAAAGAATGCGATAATTTACAACAGAAGCTAAACCAGGCATTGGAGGACATGACTGTTATAAAGAGAAAACATGCAATGTTGGTAAAGGTATGTATGTACTATAAAAAGGATTATAAATCTAGCGTTCGAAATTATAAGCACCTAACTGCGATGATTGATTCTCTTTATCGATTTTCTCTTCGCATTACTACAGTAAAGTGAACAAATTTTCCGAAATTGTTGCCGTACAATGTACTTAAAGGAGCTAGCAAAAAAGCAACATAAACGTATGGAAAAATGTTAAACCTGCCGAGTTATTAAAAAAAAAATACACTAAAAGTGCCCCTCCTCATTTAATGGTTAAAGTATGGTGAGGAGTAAATGCATCCTCTGTCATAAAATGGTTATTTTTTACCCATTTTACTAAACTGGTTTTGCCGGAAAATGGGTAAAAAAACCATTTTTTTAAATAGATGATGGAGGCGTTTGGTGTTTCATCTTTGTTGATAAAATAAAACTTTTAAAAAAATTAAAAACAGGTTTTCGTAATCAATTTTTATTTAGAAAAATAACAATAAATTGATTTATGAGTTATGAAAAAAGTAATAAATAAATAAATTTGTTGATCGCCAAATTTATGTATTTATTACTTCACTCATTTCGGCAATATTTAATTGCACCTCAATCACCCCTTGACTTTAATCAAATGCATATTGGGTGTCTTTTTTGACGTTAGATGGTGTGTCGAGCAGAAAGTCTCTGCCCCTTCGTGATGAATGATTTTTTTGGGCTTCGTGGTCATGCGGCTAGTGGCGTCACCCGTCGTTCAGGCGTATTGTGTGTGCCACGAAATGAGGTTTCGATTTCCACTCCAGCCGGTGGAACGTTTTCGTTAAAAGGAAATTTCCCTACTGGTCTGCTGTTTGTGTTGTCCGTTGTCTAGTGCCTAACATAAGACGAGACGAAAGAAACGACAATCCAGTTTCACAACTTTGTCTCAGACATCATTTTGATTAGATGAGCCGTTTATTGAACAATATAGAATTTGCCATTTTCAAAAACTACAGACATTTAGAATCATAAGGGCCCATACGGTAAAAAAAACATCATGTACATGTAAAGTGATTTGCTGTTGAATTTGCACTACTTTCCAAACATTGCAATTCGATGCGTAGATCCCTTGGAAGAGATCATATCGAAGCACGATGAAATCAACAGCAAATCACTTTATTTTAGATTGTATTGTACATCGTTGTTGATGTGCTGTGCTTTGAACTCGAAATGTCAACCACACTGATATTAACAATCTATCACTTTAAGTGTATCTAATATATCTAATATATAAATAAATATATTGCCTTGTTATATGTTATTCCGAATATAACCATAGAACATGTATCATGTTACTACCCAGATCACATGTTTCCATGTGATATTGAACAACATTTCAAGGCTTGTAGTAATAAGCAAGACGAGACTTTCAGCAATATTGATAAGTTTGACAATGTTTTGTAATAGAGGTTACACTATTATTAAATACAGCATCAATTTCATAATACTCACGCTTTAGAATGCAAATTATTTCAGGTGGAAATGAAGAATTATAGCTTCTCTCACTTGACTTCATTTGCTGTTGACTTGCCATTATAGCGAGTAATGTTTAGCATGTGCGTTTTTGGCATTTGCTTCCAAAAGCAAAACTAATCAAATTCAATGGATGAAAACCGTGGTGCCAATTCAAATGATGATCATTTTGATTTAAAGGTGTTATACAGTACATATTTTCAACGACAAATCACTCTGTTTCAACACGAAAATCACTTAAAAATCAATGATAAATCACTTCAACTCGTAGTGCCGCATGACAGACTAAATCAGGTGCAAGATCATTTGGATTAGATCCTGAACATGTCCGGGAACGTCTGGATCGCCGCCTTCGTTGGGAATTTCATCCGGGCCGGGAGCTTTCTTTGCCTTCTACCCTTTTGTTGCTGCTAGGAGTTCCTCGTTGGAGACTTGTTCAACGTTGTCTCCATCTTTCTCGCCATATGGTGTGGGTGACTAGGTCGTTAGGTCATGCTGTGGGAAAAGTCCCTCAAAGATGACTTTCAGCTTGTTGGGGCACATTTAATTTTTTTTCACATGGACCTCTGATCTTCGCCATCGCGACTCAGTATGCGTTGCCCCAGGGGTTGGCATCGGCATCTCGGCACAGCTCCTTGAAACTGTTTGACTTGCTCAGCTTTATCTTTCGTTTTAGTGAAGCCTTGACCGCTCGGAACACCGCCTCTCTGTCTGCTTCAGTTCTTGCTCTCTGAATGCGCCTTCTGGCTAGAAGACACCAGCAAGCTGGACGCCCCCTGTTCGTTGGGTCCAGTTTTCTTCGCATAGTTAAGTCACATGCCCTTGCCAATGAGGTCAACTGGTTCGCGCTTAGGCCCGGGATCCTTAGAGCTTCGACGAAGAGATTTTTTTTTAACTCTTTATTTGTTCCAAATTCAAAATAAATTACATTTCATTTTAACCTAGGTGCTCCAGTTACTACCAGCCTTAATTGTTGTGATATATGTATATCTAAGTGTTTTTACATTGTTCCTGCCTTGGCAATTCAGTATTTTAAACAGGTTTTTTGAACCTGCATGTCAGTATAACAATTGAAATCTTAAAATTAAAAACTAAAACTAAATCTTATCTAAGTATAAAGGGAATTAATCGTTGCAATTGAGGATTGCAACGATTTTTGCCTGAAATTATTAATTATGTTGTCGGACATTTGTTCTAAAATCTCAACATTCGAAATTCTATGTACCTCAGTAGTACTGTACCAGGGAGGCAACTTTAAAATCATCTTCAGAACTTTGTTCTGAAACCTTTGAAGTGCTTTTTTCCTGGTAGTGCAACAACTAGACCATATTGGCACAGCGTAAAGCATGGTTGGTCTAAAAACTTGTTTAAATGCATATTAGAAGTTTATTCGTCAGCCAAAGTTTGGATTTCCTGTTTATAAGAGGATACAAACATTTTATATATTTGTTACATTTGGCTTGAATGCCCTTAATGTGATCTTTAAAAGTTAATTTTTGGTCAAGTATTAATCCAAGATATTTCACTTTGTTTGACCAGGAAATTGGAACTCCGTTCATAGTGACTATGTGACTACTACTAAGTTTCAAAAAGGAAGCTCTAGGCTTATGTGGAAATATTATAAGTTGAGTTTTGGAAGCGTTGGGAGAAATCTTCCATTTTTGTAAATAAGAAGAGAAAATATCTAAACTTTTCTGCAGTCTGCTTGCTGCAAATAACACGAAGAATTCTTCCTTTAGCGGAAATGCCTGTGTCATCAGCGAACAAAGATTTGTGGCAACCCTGAGGCAAATCAGGGAGGTCCGAAGTGAAAATGTTATACAATATAGGCCCAAAAATGCTACCCTGAGGAACACCTGCTCTAACAAGTAGTCGATTAGATTTGGAATTTTGATAATTTACCTGCAGAGTTCTGTCAGTTAAATAATTTTGAACTAATTTCATAATATAAAGCGGGAAATTAAACTTTTTCAATATAGCAATCAAACCTTCATGCCAAACACTGTCGAATGCTTTTCTATGTCTAGAAGAGCAACTCCAGTTGAGTGGCCTTCAGATTTGTTTGAACGGATTAAATTGGTAACTCTTAAGAGTTGATGAGTAGTTGAATGCCCATGGCGAAATCCTTACTGCTCATGTGCAAAAATTGAGTTCGTATTGATGTGAAGCATCATTCTATTTAAAATTATTTCTTCAAAAAGTTTACTTATTGCAGAAAGCAAACTTATTGGACGGTAGCTAGAAGCTTCAGCTGGATTTTTATCCGGCTTCAAAATTGGAACAACTTTTGCATTTTCCATTTATCAGGAAAGTATGCCAAATGGAAACATCGGTTAAATAATTTTACCAAGAAAGATTTTTGATGAGGATATAGAAAATTCCATCTTCACCTGGAGCTTTCATATTTTGAAACTTTTTAGTTATAGACCTTACTTCGTCCAAATCAGTCCCCCAGGAATCATCAAAAATATTTTCCCGAGAGAAAATATTCAGATAATCCCGAGCAACCTGATTCTTAATAGGACTAGTAAGACCCAAACTGAAATTATGGGAACTCTCGAATTGCTTAGCAAGTTTCTGAGCTTTTTCCAAATTTGTGATCAAAATTTTACCACCTTCTTTAAGCGGTGGAATAGGCTTCTGAGGTTTTTTCAAAATTTTTGTGAGTTTCCAAAAGGGTTTGGAACTTGGGTCTATTTTCGAAACACTATTTTCAAAAGTTTTGTTCCTCAGGGCAGATAATCGCTTTTTAATTTGTTAACTTTCATGGCAGGATCACGTGTTCTTTGAAGTTGTCTCCTACGGACCTTTTTAAGACGGATCAAGAGTTGAAGATCGTCGTCTATTATAATTGAATCGAATTTAACCTCGCATGTTGGTACTGAGGCAGCTCTTGCTTCAACTATAGAAGTAGTCAGAGATTCGAGAGCATAATTAATTTCATCTTTGGTTTGCAAAGGAATGTTTGGATCGAAGCTATATTCCATAAATGTTTGATATTGCTCCCAATCAGCTCTATGGTAATTGAAAGTAGAGCTGTTGGGATTACAAATTATTTCTTGGGATATTTCAAAAGTAACTGGAAGGTGATCAGAACCGAAGTCAGCATGAGTAACCAATTAGCTGCAAAGTCGACATGAATCAGTTAAGACCAAATCAATAGTTGAGGGATTTCTTGCAGAAGAAAAGCATGTTGGGTTGTTTGGATATTGAATAGTATAATAACCTGCAGAACAATCATCAAACAGAATATTACTATTATAATTGCTTTGAACATTATTCCATGAGCGGTGTTTTGCATTAAAATCACCAATAATGAAGAATTTAGACCTATGACGGTCGGCTCCCAGTCAGATACTGAGAACGGTGACACTCTGAGAACCTAGCAAACCCTAGGTTCGACGGCTATAGTTAAGCCGGTTTTAAAAGGTTGGCTGGCCATACACCGACGTTTGGGTCATTGCTATCGAGCAATTCATAGGACGATGACCCGTGCTTTGCGATCACCGTACATGGAAGGTACT